TATTATTCATTTTACATTCATAAAATGCTTGTAGCCAATTCATGACTGTTAGAAAACAGAATCAAATAGTTGGATATTAGAGGTAGAAAATGTTTTGCAGGGAAAGAATATATCATATGTCTTTTCTTTTTCTCCTTTTTTTGTAGCTTCTTTTAAGAGGAATTAGAAAAACAGGATTTTAAGATGTTTATCAGATTTCTAAATGATATCTTATGTCTCAAGAAATAACAAAGCCTTAGAAGTTGTAGAATGTTATTAAATTCAAGTGCATCATAATTAGTAGTGTAACAAAATCATGCTTCTGATGTTACATATTCTAAGAGAGTGATTAAGTTTTTCTTGGCATTATATAATCTATTTAGAGATTTATGTTATAAGACACTAATTTTTAGTTTCAGTTCTACTAACTTCAACGGGTGACTTAGGAAATAAACACATATATAGATAGACAGCTAGACACACTAGCCTCCTCCTCAATTAGATAGACACATAGACAGATAGACAGAGAAACACTCCTTCTCCATTAGATAGGGACATATATAGATAGATAGTCACACCAGCCTCCTCCTCTATTAGATAGATAAATAGATAGATACACAGAAAGGCAGAGAAGCACACTAGCCTCCTCCTTCTCCTCCATTAGATAGATAGCTAGACAGACTAACCTCCTCCTCTTCCTATGTTAAACAGTTATAAAGACAGACACAGACAGACACACTAGCCTCCTCCTCCTCCTCAATTAGGTACATAGATAGAGACAGACAGACAGACACACATACAGGCAGACACAAGAGCCTCCTCCTCCTCAATAGACACAAACACACACTAGCCTCCTTCTCAATTAGGTAAATAGACATACTAGCCTTCTCCTCTTCCTGTATTAGATAGATATAAAGACAGACAGACACAGTAGCCTCTTCCTCCACCTCAGTTAGGTAGATAGACACACTAGCCTCTTCCTCTATTAGATAGCTAAACAGATGCATAGACTGAAAGACAGACACTAGCCTTCTCTGCCTCTGTTAGATCGATAGACATACAGATAGACAGACACACTAGCCACCTCCTCCTCCATTAGGTAGATACATATACAGACAGACAGGCAGTCAGGCAGACAGACTGACTGACACACACTTGTCTCCTCCTTCTCCGTTAGACAGTCAGACATGCTAACCTCCTTCTCCTCCTCCATTAGGTAGGCACACATACAGACAGGCAAAGACACACTAGCCTCCTGTTCTATTAGATAGACACATGTATAGGTACATAGACACACTAGCCTCTTCCTCCATTGCTGGGTCCTGTGATAGTTCTATTTTTAGTCTCTTAAAGAATTTCCATACTGTTTTCTATAGTGGCTGTACCAGTTTACATCCCATCAACAGTGTAATAGAGTTCCCTTTTCTCTGTATCCTTGCCAACATTTGTTATTTGTAGACATTTTGATGATGGCCATTCTGACAAGTATGACATAATATCTCATTGTGGTTTTGATTTGTATTTTTCTGATGATTAGCAAAGTTGAATGTCTTTTTAGGAGTCTGTTAGCCATCTGTTTATCTTCTTTGAAAAAATATCTATTCAGATCTTCTACCCATTTTAATCAGTTTTTTTATATTAATTAATAATACATTCTTATAACTACCACAGAGCCCAATACACAGAAATTTGCCAGCTCTCCCAGAAGCTCCTCCATGTGCTCTGACTCAATCATAGCCCCTTCCCTTCCTTTAAGTAAGTCTTTTCCTCTAAGTTACTGTTACAGAAATCACTTCCTTTTGTTTACGATTCCCTTACCCAAGTATGTCTCCCTAGGTACTAGTGTTTAATCCTGACCATTTACAAAAAGAGTTCCTTGTAAGTCTGTTTTGGTCTACAGATTTATTTTTTATACCTTTCTTGAAATACACCTGTTTGATCTGTTTTTCATAGTCTGGATTTGACTGCATATACGTACTACAATTTAGCACATTCATCCATTCTTTTTGCTTCCTCAAACTGGCAGCTGGATGCAGAGGCATGATTAGGCTTGATTTGATCCTCTGTCAGATTGTGGAGTGTTATTTCATAAAGAGTCGCCTAGTGTCTCGTCTCCTTTTTATGATGTTAGCAGCTATTGATATTTGATGCCTCCATCCATTAATTTATTGGAGGTTGAAAAGTGTTATTAGTCTTTGAATTCTCTCATTTCCTTTTCGTTTACTAACAGAAATAATTTTATAAAGAGATGCTTTCCCTTATGTGCTATTTGATTCCTTAGTGCTACAGTACAGTTCACTTAGGAAAATTAGTAATGGTGTATTATTCCAGCATGCACTAGCTTAGCTATTAGGGCCACATTTGAAAGCCAAAACCCTAGAAACTGTCGATGATAATTAAGACCCAGCGATAATTTAAAATTTTTTAAATTGGAGAAATAAAAATTTGTCAAGCATATCAAGAGTACAGATTTTTCCAAATAACATAACAGCAATTATTAAATTTGACCTTATACAAATGCCCTTTGAGGTAGAGCTTGTAAAAGCTATTCTCGCCATTGGTATTTTTACACAGTAGAAACTATACAGCAATAAGGATGCATAACAACAAGTTATGCATCTTAAATACATACTATTTCATTGACTACTTACACATCAATAAGGGAGGGAATGTTTCTATTTTGTTAATTTTTTCAGGCCCTTTGCCTTTCCCATATAAATGTACATTAGAACTATATATAAGCATAGATATATGTTGAGATAAGCCTACTCTTGTGTGTAAGAAGAAAATCATGCTTGTCTTAGATATATGGTTATATAATCTTTATATGTAAATATTTATCTTTTTTTCATACAGATTACATATGATTTAAATATTTTATTAATGTAACCATACAGACTTCTGTATATTCCCAATATTTTTTTCTTCTGTGTTATTCCAGTAGTGCTGCTTGGCTCATTAGACTCTGTTGCTGAGGTCAGCCTTGATGAGCAGGATAAAGTAACAGCTAAGCCGAAGGCCCTGCCAGGTGTGACTTATAATGAAATGACAGGGACAGATGAAAGTGAGAAACTAGCTGTTCTCAAATATGTAAGGGTCTGTGACTAGTTGACTTCATTTCCAGGGAAATACATATAATACATAATAATATATATAATAACTGTCAACAATAAAACTTTACATTTGATATTTTCTCGCTCTTTCTATGTAAATAATCTGAACTTGCTAATAGTGACACTTAATGCAAGCAGTCTCAGTGAAGTGTGTTTTTAAATACTTTTTAAAAATGAATGAATGCTGCTGGTACAAAGTATAGCACTGTAGATGAATATTAACTAATTATCTGTGCCCCCAGAGTATTCAGTTAAATTTGCCATGTGGAGGAGAATTGAGACTTTGGTTTTGGGCTTTTCCATAGTTCTCTCTGTATAGGAGAAAAAGCTAGCTCACATCCCCAAATTCTGAAATGTCTAGGACTATCCAGACTTCACCAACAGTTGTAAAGGTCTTTAAGACAATGCCTTTTCAGACTTTTTTTTTTTAAAGCAGTGGAACCCTTATCTCCAAAAGGAATCTTAGAAAGTACCCTCTTTACAGATAAAAATGACATTTTACCAGTATAAATATAAATGTTTACATTCATGACATTTACTTAAAAAATTAGTGATAGCAATTAAAACAGACCACTACTGTTAAAATTGGGAGTTATAGATATTTGTTATATTCTTATATCATCAGACTTCCAATATGTTTATATATTTTGTTTTTGTTGTATAATACCAAAATATTCTTGGCTGATCCCTTAAATAGGTGCAAATGGGAAATTTTCAACTTTCTTTGCAAGTCCCAGTTGACTAGTTTGGTCAACTAAACCAAACCAGACTCTTGAAAAAAAGATCAATAGAAAGAATAAATCACTAGCCAACTCTGAACATCTGCTTGCATTTTATTTTTATTTTATTTTGTTTTTTAAATTTTTTAATCAAACTAATATGCTTGAAGTAGAATTCATGTATCATAATAGTGCAGATGATGAATTTTCAAATACTGAACACTGCCATGTAACCAACAACCAGATTATAAAAAGCAAAACATGATCAAAAGCACAAAGTCCACTCAGATCTCTTATTTCTAGTCACTGCCATTCCAACAATCACTATCTAGTTTTACACTCTTCCATTTTAAAATGTAAATATAAAAGTTAATAAATTACAGCAGAAATTTTCCATCAAGACACATCACTCATTTACTTGTTATCACCCAATTGAATATTCTGCCATGATGAAAATGTGTGCCGGGCAAGTACTGCTCAGTCTCACCACTGGTGAAGTATATGTCACGTATGTGCTGTGATAGTCCGCTTACACTGTTCTCAGTGAGCAGATATGAGTTCTTGTAAAAGACCAATATAGAGCTACAGCTTTTCTAGTCAGTGACCCATTATGGGAGGTTCATGTATGCACAGGACAGCCAGAGGAACTTGATTCTGTGATGTGCGTGAAAACAAAGCTAGAGACCCAAGCTACCATGCTGGTGGTCTTAAAAATATTAATTACATAAAAGGCACATCTGAGTGTGCAGATTAATTTCTATTACAGTTTTTATGTTTTAAAATGAAATTCCAATCAAACATCTGTAGACTCCATGATTTTCTCTGAAAACTATCATTTTGTTAAAAATATGAAAACCACTGCTATAGATTATAAGAAAAACTCAGAAATAAGAATGCTATTACTTAATTTGGAAGTTCAAGATTTGCAGATACTAACTACTATGTATAAAATAGATAAACAACAAGTTTCTACTGTATAGCACAGGGAACAGTATTCAATATCTTGTAGTAACCTATAATGAAAGAATATGAAAATGAATATATGTATGTATGTGTATGACTGAAACATGCTGTAGACCAGAAATTGACACAGCATTGTAAAATGACTATACTTCAATTTTTTAAAAAGTCCAAAAAATGTATTACTGAAAGAAAAAGTCTATTAAGATTATCTGGGCAGTTATATAATGCTAATTTTTTTAACCTTATTTCTTAAATGTTCTTGATTCTGAAATAATTTGATGGGTCACTTACTCAAAGAGTGTACAGTATAAGTTTATTGTTTTGTGGGCTTGGATTTGTATTCCCAGCCTTGCCAGTTAGCAGCTGGGTGACATTGGAAAATTAATGCCTCTAAGCCTGTTTCCTCTTCTCTAAAATGAGACCGCGGGATGATCAGCTGCAATAACATATAGTGCCTGGTATATTGCTGAGATTCAACAAGCAGTGCCAGCTGTGTGGTTCTCATTATGTGCATCAACCTCTATTAATAGTACAGATTATGTGAAAGAACATGAAGGCATGCATATAAATTCCTATTGGCTGTAACCTGTTAAATTTACCTAGTATTTCAAAAATACACTTGAAAAATATTCAATCAGTATATGAACTTAGTTTAAAAATTGAAAAGATCAGTGGTTTTTTGTTTGTTTGTTTGTTTGTTTACCATTTGTCTTCTGGGATTAAGCAGGCTTGGTTTAGGTGATATGTTGTCAAAGATTATCTTTTTCATTAATATGACTCAAGAAGTTCCTTGTGCTTTATTGTCTTTTAAAAGTTGATGACTATAAAGTGAGGGCCAGATCTAGCCTTTTGCTTGTTTTCATCTGTCTCATGGGCCGGTGCTGTTTTGTGCTGTGGCTGTGTGACTGGCACAGTCACTGGATGTGACAGAATTCTACACATTGGGACCCTTGCCACTGCACAATAGAATTTGACACTTCTCAACTTGTAAGTGGGAAAAAAATAGGAAGCTTTTGACCTGTAATAATACACAAAATAATGACACAGTATTTTCTCTTTCTAATGTAAAAGGGGAGAAGTCAGCCCTTTACTTTTCTCTCTATAAAATACATGAATAAACATACATGACCCTGGGATTATTTTTAATATCCATTGGGTTAATGACTCAAATTAAGAGAAATATACCTTTCTCCTGCTCTGTTGTCTGAGCAGCCCCTGATGCCTCTCTGTCTTCCATTTCTAATTTCTGACTTTTAGGTCATTTGCTTTTCTGCATGTTTGCTCTGCTGTTGCTTTATGCCAGAACCCCTTCTTTCTGATACCTCTCACCTGTTAAATTAGATTGAGTGTTCAGTACTGCTCTGCTGGTTACCATTGGGATCATTTATTTTATCCAGACTAAGTGATGCTTAACACCCCCTGGTATTTCTGTAGAGCAGAAAACACATTGTGCCTTTTTCTTTTGTTCATAAAATCAATTCTGTCCTTCAGTCAGGCTACTCTGAGTCTGATCAATGGTTTAGAGGGCAGGCAAGATCTTTTCCCTAAAGTCCTGCTGAATATCCCTGCCACTTAATTAGTGATTCTGCTCTAATGATATACCCTACTTTTTTGTTTTTAATTTATTTAAGCAACTCTATTGCTTTTTGGGCATGCTTCAAATAGCAGTGGTGACCTTGTTTCTGAGTCCAAACTCATTCTGCTCACTGCAAAACAGGCCAGTAAATCTGGAGACAAGGTGTTGGGGCAAGGAAAAGTGATTTTATTCAGAAAGGCAGCAGACCAAGAGGAAGGCCAACTAATATCTTGGAGAGCCATCCTTCTCCAGTCAGAATACAGACTCCTTTTATACAAACAACAACAACAACAAAAAACCACAGAGGAGGGGGTGTGGTTCATTGTTGCAAACTTCTTGATGCAGGAATTCTTTGTTCTTGCAGCCGTCCATGTGTGTCCCTGTAAACCTTCAACAAAACAAAGGTTATTCTCTCTTTTGCAACTTGCTGTCTCTACATAAGTG